CCAATAACAGTAATATTAGCAAGTATTCAAATTTCATTCAGGGCGAAACATTCAACGGGACCGTAAAAACTCAAACTTGTAAAAGTGACGAAACCAATGCGGCGACTACTCAAACTATTCATATTCCCCTCTCGCCTTCACAATCTTTTATAGATCCACTTGTTCCACCAGTTGTTCGTATGACAAAAAAGGCAGTTAAGACTGGTGACAGTACGTACATTTTGTCTGGCTTTAGAGACAGGGTTGTCTATGAAAACGTTAAGCTTTACCTAGCTTACGGACACAGTGCATCATGACGGCAAGACTCAGTTCAGCATAAAAGTTTTCATAGAAAGTGAGGGTCTCCTCTCTGATTATACTCTCCTCCTGAGACTGTACAAAAGATTTCATGAAACTTTAAATATGCAACCTGCAAGTTTCGAGAAGGACCTACAGACTTATCGGAAACACATGAAGAGTAAATGATTACTTACAAAGAATGAGGGAATCAAACGATAGGTTTTTTCTTCCGTCAGGATCCTCTAAATCGCCATAAAAATGGTTTAAATAGTGACGGACCCACCCTTAAAGCCTCCCATAGTAGTCTTGTGACCATTCGTCCCATCAAATCATCTGTTTTCCCTAACATATTTTACCATAATTGCAGCGGTTTAAGAGGAAAGCTTAAAAATCTCTTTATTGACGCTAAATCTTGCAATTTCAATATTTTAACTCTTACGGAAACGTGGTTGAACGATTCTTTCAAAAATGAGGAAATACTTGACAGTAATTGGTCTGCATACAGAAAAGACCGTGATTATACAACTACTGGTCAATCCAGGGGCGGGAGTTATATATCCTCTTCCAATATAACCCAAAAATTCAACATAATATGTAATTCAAAATAATACTTTCGTTTTCTTTTTAATTATGCAATATCCTCTTTTAAAAATATAATTCAAAAATGTACCTTCTATTTTGTTTTTCGTTTTCTTCTTTTTATTATTCTAAATCACACATGTTGGCTTAAGCCAGTCGTACTTCAAAAAAGCAGATTACTTAAGTAATAAATTAAAAAGAAGAAAACCCAAAAATAAAAACAGAATCTAATATTACCAAACATAAAATAATATTTTTTGTTTGGGTATAAAGTTTCTATATTAAAATAATTTTTTTTTTACTTATCTTGTTGCGCAACACTTATACCGTAATAAATTTTGTTTTGTTGCGTAACTGATTATTTCATATAAATTCTAATAAAAAACCTAAAAATAAGCAAATTGATTTCCTGATAAAAAAGAGAAACAAGAAAGTTGACACCAATGTTTTTTTATTTTTTTGTAAAAGAAATAAAAAATTATTAGCGTTGGTTAATTTTTCCTTTCTTCAAGAATAGTAGTCCAAGTTAAGATTCTAAAGCGCGAAGTTATTTTGTTAGAAAAATTGGAAAGTGAAAATTTTCAAATAAAAATTGTAATAATACTAGATTAAGTTTTTAAAATATATAAAAAAGAAAATAATAAAATAATACGTAATTTAAACAAAATTAAGTTTAATTTCTAGTGTTTTATTTAATAATTCTTATACCTATTTTAAAAATAACAAGTGACAGTAAACTTTCTTGTGTTTTCTATTTAACGTAAATAAATAAAAGAACAAAAGTCGGGGGCGTTTTGATTGCCGTCAATAATCGGTTACCAAACCAATTGGGATCCACTTCAGTTTTTTCCACATTCGACCATCAATTTATCAAAATATACTCACGTAGAATCTATACCTATGTGGGAGTGGTTTACTTTCCCCCTAATTCTGACGAATCCTCTTATAATGATTTCTTTACCATATGTAACGAAATATTTTTATAAATGCATGAGGATGATGAGATAGTTGTTATAGGTGATTTTAATCGGTCGGCTTTATCGTTTATCAATGATGAATATGATACGGTCTTCTTCCAGTCAATTTCCTGGAAGACATCGATTTTAATCTCGTTAGTACGTTCTATGGGAACGACCTGCAGCAGGTGGTACGTTACCAAAGTGAAAGAGGTAATTGGTTGGACTTAGCTTTCTCAAATGCCTATGACAGCATATGGGTCCGACTTGCTACAGACGAAGAGAACCTTTTCAAAAATTCTATTCCTCATAATGCAATTGTTCTCGAATTTCCTAATAACAAACTTAAGTTGTCTAAATCTTACAATAAAAAGATTGTATATGATTTTCTTAACGCCGACTACAACGGCATCAATTATGCTCTTAGCTTAATCAATTGGCTTAATGTTCCATCAGCACAATTTAGACAATATTGTCTCCGATTTTTACTCTATTTTGCTCAGAATAATTGACGCCCATGTTCCAAGAATCCTTAAAAAGGATAGACTGGCGAAACCATGGTTAGATCGTAATTTAAGACAATTAAGTAATCGGAAAAAAAAATTACACAATAAAATTAAGCATTCTAGGGACAATAACTCACTTATTAATGAATATAATGAGTTGGCGAATGAATTCAAATATAAATCCAATGAGGCATATGATATTTATATCCAAAATATAGGCAGCTCGATTTTGGGGAACCCGAAAAGATTTTTTGACTTTGCTAACTCCAAACGTAAATCGTCGGGATATCCGAGCTCCATGAGCAAGAACGGGTTAATATCATCTTCTAACTCTGAGATTTGCAATCTTTTTGCCGATAATTTTCAACAAACTTATAGATTAGATTCTTTTTTTAATTATGTCTATACCCCCACCAGTATAGATAACGGTCATCCTCTTTTTAAAGATGTTCATCTTTCAGTAGACAACGAACTTCAAGGTATTTGTGACTTAGAAACCAATAAAGGACCTGGACCGGACTTTATACCGCCTATACTTCTTCATAACTGTAGACACAATTTATCATATCCCCTTACTTTGATTTTTAACAAATCATTATGCTCTGGTTTTTTACCGTCAATATGGAAAACTTTATACCTCATACCTATTCATAAAAAGGGGGATGAGACTGCGGTTGAAAACTATAGGGGAATTGCCATTCAATCTGTCATTCCTAAATTACTTGAAAAATTGGTTACGGGTATAATTGCACCCATTGTTAACCCATTACTAAATAATGAGCAACACGGCTTTAGGACTGGTCGCTCTACGACCACCAACCTTTCAATTTTTACATCGGATATTCTTTCGTTTATGGAAAGAGGGTTTCAAGTAGATGCGATATATACAGACTTCAGCAAAGCTTTTGATCGCATTGATCACATTATCTGAGCATAAGCTAAGACAATTTGGTTTTAGGAATCCACTATTGGGATGGTTAAAATCTTACTTCACTGAAAGGACCCAATTTGTCAAGTTCCAGGTGTTAAGTCGAAACCTTTCCATGTCTACTCTGGAGTTCCCCAAGGAAGTCATTTGGGCCCTATTCTTTTCAATATCTTCATTTCTGACCTCTCTCAGTGTTTGGCGTGTGTTCCGCATCTGATTTATGCTGATGATCTGAAAATGTATTATATTGTAAAGGATATTTCTGACACTAATTACCTCCAATTAAAGTTAGAACATCTAAATTCTTGGTGCGAGGCTAATAAATTAGATATTAACGTTAAAAAATGATATGTTATTAGTTTTTCACGTAAGCGTTCAAATCTCTTTCAAGAATATTCACTTCAAAACTCCACTTTAGAACGCGTTGACCATATTACTGATCTAGGTATTATTATGGACAGTAAACTCAATTTCAATTTTCATTATGATTCTATTTTTTCTAAAGCAAGCAAAATGCTAGGTTTCATTAAGAGGAGAGCCAGAGAATTCAACAATACTGAAGTAACTAAATCGCTCTATTACTCCCTTGTTCGTTCTGTTCTTGAGTATGGCAGTATTATTTGGGATCTGGCATTTTATTTCTGTGCACAGAAATAAAATTGAGTCGGTTCAAAAACAATTTTTATTATTTGCTTTGAGAAGGCAATATAACCCCAATGACTTCCATAATATTCCTTCATGTAAAATTAGACTTCAATCCCTGAATATGTTGAGTCTGGAGTCACGCCGGTCTTTGTTGCCTTCTTGTTTTACTTATGATGTCCTAACAGGAAAAATAGACGTGGACTTCATTAGAGACAAAATTATTATCAACAACGACGTCAGACCTACCAGACATACTAAATTCTTAAAAGAATATTGGCATAGGACTGAATATGCTAAAAATGAACCAATAAATAGATGTTGTACTGTATTCAATCGTTTTAGTCATCTTTTTTCACCAGCAGTTACAAAATACACCTTCAAAAAAAAATTCATAATTCACTACTGACCTAGTATAATATCAAATGATAATTATATGACCTAATTGTACAATTATTAAATCGTATAAATATTAAATACCTACTCAGCATGAATGATAACATAATAAAATTCTTTCTTTTTATTTATTATTTTCTTTATATGTATCATATTACATTTGTGTAATAAATTCATTTAATGTTTTGTTAGTGTAATTCAATTTGGTTTATAAGTATGTATAACGTATGGGGGTCGAAAGAGTAATACGCGTAACTTATGACATTGTTTCCTGTTAGTGTCACTTAGTCTATGTTACTCTATTTCCTACTCTCACCTCCACGTGGTGACCCCTGGACTTCGAGCAACTCAGACCAAGATTGCGGTAACCAACCCCTTTGGCGGTCTTGAGTCGGAGACTGACGAGAGAGGAGACTATCACAGGCTACTTCGACATATTTGGAGCTCAGGTTGTGATAGATCTGCATGATTGGCAGGATTATACAGTAGGCCAGGTAGCGGAAGAGCTCTTAAAGAGCCAACGGTAGCGGTCAAGCCTCATAGAAGGTTACTGTCTTCGTGTCAGGTGGCAACCGACGGTAAAAAAAACACATAAACCAAAACAAATATCTCCTAATTATGAAGTACAACAAAAATAAGAAAATGGTAAAAACTAGGGCGTCCCCCATAAGCGACGAAAATGAAAAAGAATACAAAAAGAATTGCAATAAAAATATGAATGCTAAAGCAAACGACTCGAAATACTTAAGAGTAGCGATATGGAATCTTGGGTCGCTAACCGGACGCTGTGCCGAATTGGCAGAAGTATTAGGTAGAGGACGAGTACATATTGCATGTATTCAAAAAACAAAATGGGTGGGGGCGAAATCTCGAGATATTGGAGGTGGTTATAAACTATACTACTATGGAGAAAAAACTAAAACCAACGGAGTAGCAATAGCTGTAAACAGGGACCTACAAGAACGCGTAGTTAGTGTAAACAGATACACAGATAGAATTATGTCAATTAAAATAATGTTGAATGATTCCGAAAGGTTGAATATTTTTAGTGTGTATGCACCGCAGGCAGGTAATGATGAAAATACAAAAGCAGATTTTTGGGAAGAACTCCATCACCACCTGCAAGGAGTTCTGGCATCAGAAATGAAAGTTGTTTGTGGTGACTTAAATGGACACCTTGGACGAGAAAATCAACAGTACAGCAAATGGCATGGCGGTTATGGCTACGGGTTGGAGAATGCACAAGGAAGGGACATACTGGAACTGGCGTCAGCTTTTAATCTAGCTATACTCAATACCTATTTCAAAAAGAAAGACGAGCACCTTGTAACATACAAAAGTGGAAGTAACTGTTCTCAAATAGATTACATACTGCATGACCGTACGAATGTGAAAGCCTGTAAAGATTGTAAAGTTATACCAGGGGAATCACATACTAGTCAGCATCGAGTACTGATAGCCGATTTTAGATTCAACTTTCAAATCCGAAGAGTAAACGTGAAAAGAAATGCAAAAATTAAATGGTATAAGTTAAAAAGAAATTCACGATTTACTGAAGAAATAAGAAACTACCTTGAAATTGATATAAAACATATAGAAGAAACAGAGACTATGTGGTCAAAATTTGAAAGTTTCTGTTTTAAGAGGGCACAAGAAAACCTTGGTCTTTCTAAAGGACCACTTCAATCAAAAAATGAGACATGGTGGTGGAGCGATGAGGTTCAAAAAACGATCAAACAAAAGAAAGAACTGTTTAAAGCTTGGCAGAAAACTAAGAAGGACGAAGACCATATGAAGTATAAGAAAGCGAAGAAAGAATCAGCCAAGGCGGTTAGCATCGCAAAGGAAATAGCGTTCGAAAAATTTTATGATAGTCTAGACACTCCTGAAGGTGAGAAAGGTATATATAAAATTGCAAAGCAAAGAAACAACAGCACTAAAGACATGAGATGTGTAAAATATATAAAGGATGAATCAGGCAATACCCTAACGAACGAAGAAAGTATCAAAAAGCGTTGGGAGGAATATTACTACCTACTTTTAAATGATGAGTTTGAGCATGCTGCAATTGAACCAGCACCGAGAGTTGAAGGAGCGGCACGCCAAATTGATGAGGACGAAGTTAAGGAAGCCGTCTCAAAAATGAAAAACAATAAAGCAACTGGACCAGACTAAATACCATCAGAAGTTTGGAAATGTGAGGATGACGTGGGAATCAAGTGGTTAACCATATTATTTAATAAAATCCTTGAAGATAAACGTATGCCAACCAGTTGGAGAAAAAGTCATATGATCCCAGTTTTTAAAGAAAAGGGCGATGTACAGTCTTGTCAAAATTATAGAGGTATAAAACTAATGACCCACACGATGAAAATATGGGAGAGAGTGATAGCATCCAGAATCGATAGAATCGTGACATTAACACCTAACCAGCGGGGATTCATACGAGGTGGATCAACAATTGATGCTATACAAACACTAAGAATAATCACCGAGAAATTTAGAAGCAGGAAAGAAAATCTCCATATGGCGTTCATTGACCTTGAAAAAGCTTTCGATCGTGTGCCCAGAACGTTGCTGTATGAGGCGATGCGGTCTCACGGAATTATTGAAAAATACGTTAGCGTAGTAAAGGATATGTATGATGACTGTACCACTCAAATCAAAACATCGGTCGGCATTACCCAACCGTTCAAAGTAGAGGTTGGTGTACATCAAGGTTCAGCTCTCAGCCCTGTGCTATTTAACATAATACTTAATCACATATCAGCTAATGTCCAAAAACCTCTCCCATGGAATATACTTTATGTAGATGACATTGCACTGGTCGAAACTAGTAGAGAAGACCTGGAAAGAAGCCTCAACATGTGGAATTCAGTTCTCACTAAAAATGGCTTACGCGTGAATACTAATAAAACAGAATATATGTTCCTGAAATTTAATGATAAAGAAGAATATGGGCTATTCAACACAGTCTATGTAAAACAAGAGCCTTTGCCTATGGTAAAATCGTTTAAATATCTAGGTTCAGTAATAGCAGATGATGGGAAAATTGATGAAGATGTTAATCATAGGGTCAACGTAGGATGGTTAAAGTGGCGGAAGCTAACAGGGGTCTTGTGTGACAAAAAAATACCACCAAAGTTGAAAGGCAAGGTCTATAAATCCGTTGTAAGACCAACCCTATTGTATGGTACCGAGTGCTGGGCAGCGCAGAAGAAGCATGTACAAAAACTGCACGTTGCCGAAATGCGCATGATACGTTGGGCTTCAGGCATTACACGTAAAGTTAAAATACGAAATACATACGTCAGAGGCAGCCTTAAAATCACATCAATTGAGGAAAAATTCGAAGAAAATAGACTGAGATGGTTCGGACATGTGTCAAGAAGAGACGAAAATTACATAGTGCAGAAAGCCTTGCAATTACAGGAACAACCTAGAGGGAGAGGCAGACCTACAGCAACTTGGTTGAACACCATTCAAAGGGATCTCAAGAAAAGGAACCTAGAAAGTACGACAACTCAGGACAGAAGAACCTGGCGCTTTAGAATTAGGAGGGCCGACCCCAATTAACGGGATAATGGCAAGGAGAGAAGAAGAAGAAGAGAAGTATGTATAATGTATATTTTTGTTAATTTTGTAAACTATTATATTTTTGTAATTATGTAGCATCTTGTTGGGTGCAAATTAAAATAAAATAAAATAAAAAAAATCTGATGTGGTCATCACATAACCGACCGCATTGTATATTGTCTAGTTAAGTGAAAGGGTTACAGAATATTATAAAAATGTCTTTTAAATACTTCTTTCCAATTTTTTAGACATTAGTAAGCTTATAGTTAATACACCTAGAAAAATGTAAATTTGGCTCTTAGTAGAGTTTCGCTTTGTGCTACCCGAATTCCCAGAAATGCTCGCCAGATAACCAGAACTCAAATAATAAATTTCAAGAAATTCCATCAATTCGTTCCGTAGATATGGTGAAAAATGTAAAATCGGCCCGCAAATCAGTTTTCGAGCCCTAATCTTTCCAAAAAATTTATATGTTTACTATTTTAATACGAGGAATTCAAATATTAAATTTCAATGAAATCGGTCAATTATTTCTTTTTATATACGAAAAATGTATAGTAAGCGTCCAGTTGCTGATGCCTGATTTCTTTCAAAACTTAGCAATTTTCGCGGACGGTCGAGCAAAGCTCATATATGAAATTTCAAGTAAATCGGTTGAATATTTTCTTCAAAATGGTGAAAAATGTAAAATCGGCCCGCAAATCAGTTTTCGAGCCCTGATCTTTTCAAAAAATTTAAATGTTCATTGTTTTAATACGAGGAATTCAAGTATTAAATTTAAATGAAATCGGTCAATTATATCCCTTTATATACGCAAAACTGTATATTTGGCCCGTAGTAAACGTCCAGTTGCTGATGCCTTCTTTTGATGATGAGTTGATTTCTTCCAAAAGTTAGGAATTTTTGCGGACGGTCGAGAAAAGCTTATATATGAAATTTCAAGTAAATCGGTTGAATACTTTCTTCAAAATGTTCAAAAATGTAAAACAGGCCCTCTAAAAAGTGCAGTTCCCAGGGCCTGATATATCCCAAAAGTTGATTAATCCGTGCCGGGGCGGAAATAAAGTTACATATAATTTCATCAAAATCGGTTCAGCTAAACTTGAGATACACGCGTGCACACACAGACCGACAGGTTGCTAAAAATAGTTTATTTACACTTCCCTTCCATGGAGAAGTATATTCCCATTGAAAACTCGATATGCAAAATTTGTTGCCATCACACCATCTACCTATTGTTTATACAATATTGTCGTTTATAAAGTAGGGTCAAACCAATGGTTTGTATTGTAGCACTTTTTCCTTCAACAAGTGAAAATTCTGCTTTCAAATACAGTCTATGTATACCTACAACACTATTAATATTATTTTCATTCATAAACGAAACAGCTATTTCTAGGATTGCATTTATTTAGGACGAACGATGTATGCAGTCTTTGAAATAAAGCAAAAATTACTATAAAGTGGGGTTAACATAATGCTCGAATTTAAGGGTTAATTGTATGAGTTAAGAAAAACAATTATATTTTTTAATGTCATGGAATTTACCGTTAGCTTTTTCCGTTTACAGAAATTTGGAAAAGCATATGGTTTGGGAAATATAAGTCGTCAAAAATTCAAATTTTACAAATTTGAAGAGGCGATAACTTGGGAGACGGAAAAAAATTTTCTTCTAAAGAAATGAAGTATTTATTAGTGTCTAAAAGCTCTTAAAATTTTAGGCTTCTACAGACTGGGGTCTAGAAGGAAAACAACATCAAAAATTTGGAAAAAAAGAACTTTAGATAACGGTAAATTTGAATGGCCACTTTGTTTTTCTGAAGTTTAACTATAGTATACCCCGCTAGGGGAAGCAAGCCAGTACCTTTCTGCGTTTGCAAAATTTCAAAAATGCTTATGGTTTCATTGCAACAAATAGTTAAAAAAGGCCATATTTAGGGTTGGGGGGTGGGTATTACTTCTATATGGGGGGAGATAGGTAAAAATTTTGTTCTACAGAAATAAGTTTCTAGTAAAGATCTATGTACGTATTAAATTTCAGCTTTCTATCTTCAAGGGTGTAGAAGTTTTGTAAACATACTCACGGACAGATGGACAAACGGACGGACGGACGGACAGAGTGAAACTAATAAGTACGATTTCAATATTTGTATTGATGTTATTTGTCAGGATCATAATATGTATCTGTGTTGCCATCTTAAATTCAATGTACAAATTCAACGGTAGAATTTCATTTTCACCATGAATTACACTAGTAGCAGCTCTAGAATTATAGCCAAATAAGTTCTTTATTGCCTTATTTTGGGCTTTTTGCAATGAACTCCTATATTTATTAAGTGGATAACACACTTGTACAAATATGTATTTCCAGATAATCTTCGGGCTTTCATTTAAAGATTATTAGTTTTGTTTTATTTGCATTCACAGTCAGCTTAGGCACAAGTCCATCCATAATTTAATCATATTAATGTCTTGCTGAGCTATATTTTCTAGATGTACATTCGTTGATCCTCAATACACAATCACTAGATCATCAGCATATGTGGACTACCCACTAATTTTAAATTTAGGCAGACTACTTACATATATAGTAAACATCGTTGGTGCAAGTGACCCTGAATTACTCCGAAATAATTTTTTTCGAGCTCGCTTCAAGGAATGCAGATATTCAGCGAATTTAAATCTATCCTCAAGGTAACTTTTAAACCAAACGTATTCTTTACCGCGGATTCCATATTATTTTTATCCAACCCAGTTTGAACCTTAGATACTACATCAAATAATGCAGCTTCAGTGCTAGACTGTCTTTTGAAACCATACTGTTGTTTATTAAGAAGGTTTGTACTCTCTAAGTATTCAATTAGTTGTTTATTAACAATAGTTTCAATAGGTTATCTAAACACCGGTGCAATTGAAGTAAGTCGAAAATCATCATGGCTTTCGAAACTTTCTATATTTTTAGCTATTGGAACTATTTTGCACACTTTTAGACACATGGGCATTTGAGCTTGACAAAGTGATTTGTTTATCAACTGAGTTAAGTTATCTACTATTTCAGTTTTACATTTCTAGATAATTGATGTCGGTATTATCTGTCCCACAAGCGTTTTTATTTGCCATATTAGAAATCAAATTGAGACGTTGTTGTCGACTGATGGTGTTAAACTTAAATATTTCAGAAGTTCTACTACTTGGCATGTAATAATGTTCAAAATTTTTTGATAAATTTTCGCCTACTTTTGCATAGAATCTGTTAAATTCGTTTAATTTATTGTATTTCGTATGATTTTCTAGCATTTCTTTTCCGAAGAATTCATTTGTTTTTACCGACCGTATTGTGTAAACAATAGGTAGGTTATGTGATGGCAACAAATTTTGCATATCGAGTTTTCGGTGGGAACGTACTTCTCCATAGTAGGGAAGTGTAAATAAACTATTTTTAGCAACCTGTCGGTCTGTCGGTCTGTCGGTCTGTCGGTCTGTCCGTCTGTCGGTCTGTCGGTCTGTGTGTGCACGCGTGTATCTCACGTTCGGCTGAACCGATTTTGATGAAATTTTATATGTAAGTTTATTTCCACCATGGCACGGATCGATCAACT